CTTCTTCAAACGCCTTCAGCGATTAACATTTGCTGATTAGCTGCATTGTTTTGTTGTTGTACAGCCCGTACCATGTATGTTTTGTTATCGTAAATTCTGATGCTTATTTCAAGTTACTACTGAAAGTTATATCGCTGAAAGTTAAAATTAAACCTAACACTGGCAACTGCGTTTAATATAGAGAAGTTTTTAGAGCTGTAAAGTTGTGCGAGTCAAGTGTTCGCGGATAAAGGTCCGAAAAATCTAAATTATTTAATAAGCAATAAGAAACCACTTAAAAAAATAAATTGAAAACCTTAATATACACAAATATCAAGAAGATTTTGTTAAGAATAAAAGTTTTATTGTGAATGAAATTATTTGTAGGAAGGACTTAATGACAAGAAAGGGCCTATTGCCAAAAAACACTTTTCTTCTGTTAAAATAAATTTTAAAAAGCTAGTTACTTTTTAATGTAAAAGTTAATACAAAAAAAACTATATTTATTACTTAGAGTCGTACATGAAGAAATTTTTCAAAGATAAAAAAATGTGTATACCTATGAACACTTCTACAATTGATTCAAGTGATAATGGCTGCCATGGAGTTTTTAAGAAAAAAAAATGTGAAAGGCAAGCGGTGATATCATTAAAGCATGAATATGGGTAGTATGAGTTCGTGTGACCCTTTTAAAGCATCGTTATTCAGGTCTTCAGTTGTGTATCTCTTTATGCTTCAATATATGAAGTGCCAGTTCTACTGATATATGTTAAAAACATGTTTGCACACACAATCAAAGAAGCATTGAAAAATATGCAGCTGAGAATGTAGTAAGCTGTTTGGTCGCTTTGTCCCCGCCCGGTGTCCTCATTGAAAACATGTATATGCATGCATGCAGTATAAATCGGTGTGTATATAAGAATATCAATAAAGACCTTTAGTAAAGATGCACAATCGCTTGTATGCATCTTTTCTTATAAATGTTTACAACTGTGTAAATATTCACTTCTATTGCTTCTATTGCATTCTATGCTTTTGCTGTCTTTTTAATGTGATGTTTTCTCTTTATAGGTTAACGGACTCTAAAGTATCGTAAGTTTTGTACATTTTTAAATTTTTTCATCGGTTTAAGACTAATAAGATTGGTTGAATGGAGATCTGAATATATATTTTTTATTTAAAAAATTGCCTTTTAGGGTAAATAAAATTTGCTTTCTAACATCTTAATTTTTACCGATAGGGATTAAATACATGCCAAGCCTTTCAATGATTTTGATATATTTTTGCGTTAACTTTTGGTGGGTGCAGTAAATTATGAAAAAATTCGATAAAATATTTTAAAATTGTTAATAAATGTTCCTCTATTTACGGGCGTATGGTGATATATTTCGTGAACTTCATGTCTGAGTTTTAATGCACATAACCACTCAAGTGTTATAATATTCCCTCATCTGGACATATAAGCCATATCTCTTTGATTTTGCTCGTGTAAACTACATGTACAAAAAAATATATTTACATATGTATATATATGTATTTATATTTATTGTTATGTTAGCCTAAAATAATAGAGCAGAGATAAAGATTGTGATGTCCTCAACCTTGTCAAGCATAGTCTACATAAGGTATCATTTCTGTAGCGCCTTACGTGACAAACGTTATCACTTTAGTAATATTCATATTATTCATGATTCATCATTATTATAAAAATTTACGAAGGAAAGGAATATTGTGTACTAATTGCCATTTCATTTTGACGTAATAATAAATTTAATTGTTTGCGCGTTAAAGGAGCCATTGATTTATATACACAAAATACGCTTATTCGAATTGAAGAGAGGCATACGTATACACATCTGAGTAAAAACAGCCGTGAATTTGGAAGTTTTATACTTCAGTGAGACGTAAAAACAAATAGAAACATTACGTTCCTGTTTGGACCTTTGTAATTATTCCTATTCACATTGAATTTGCGGAGGATTTAAATAAATATTAAATAAAAATAATCATCTTGATATTATATCTATTGAACAAGTAAGAACCCAATAGCTGGCTATAGCTCACCATTAAATACCCTATGCTACTTCGTCTAATGAATTCATATATCGACTTTTCAAAATAAAGCTCTGTATTGGGAGTGGTCGAAGAAAACGTGCGATCCGAAAGACTTTGTGCTTGGAACAAAGCACGTCAGCGTACTAAATTTCATTAAAATATCTCAAAAATTGAACACAAGGAAACAAGACTGGCAGAAAGACAGATAAGCTTAGAATTAGTTTCTGAATAGATCGGTATAATAAAAAGTGGGTCTAAGTGGGGACGAATTTAACGTACCCTTATACTACAAGTCTTGTAGGGTGTACTAGATAAGAAAGCAGGGTATGGTCCATTACAGACCCACAACGCATTTTCCTAATGAAATTTATTTATCTAATTGTGGTGATGCGTGTTTCCGCAAATGTTGACCAATTTCTTATCACACGTTATATACATAATGTATATAGCAATATTTAGTTTTCTAAAACAAACATTTGAATAAGATATCTGTCTGCGTTTCAAGCAGGAAGGGGCAACCGTCGGCCGGGTACGTTCAGAATTTCAAATAACTCAATTTGCTCGCCCGCAGCAATTCTGCAAATGTATTGACGAATTGTATCTGCGTTCGCCTCCGGCTCAGTTGTGCAACTATCAAATGTGAAACGGGCTTAAGTGTCTTTTTTTGTCCATTAGGCCATGAGTGAACAAAGAAAAAAGAGACAAGAGAAAAAATTAATACAAAGTGACACATTTTTAACAAATTTAGTTGGACCTTATTCTTGCCGCCGCAGTGATATGAAAATTGAAATTGGCCCGATTCTGTGAAAGTGTGTCCCCTCTTGGCTTAACGCAATGAACGCGTATAGTTGAATTTAAGGAATAGACGACTAAATGCTTTATTAGTTATCATACGTTTTCAACTAATACTGCTACGCGAGTATTTAAAGTACATATCATGGCCAATCGTAATTCGAAATATGTTTTCTGTATGTATGTGTAAAAAATCATTAACATTGTAAATTTGCGAAAAGTATAAAAGAAAAGATTTCTTCCGGGCTCAAAAAAAATTAATTCTATTCTTGAACCAACAGGTGGTCTAGAAAAAACGACCTCACTCCCTATACGCGCTGCTTCTCTGATAAAAATTTGATTGTTCCTTAAAATTAAGTAAATACACTTTTGATCAACATAAGTTCTCGGATTAATTTCTAATGTCCGCCAATCAGATTTTAATAATCTCAGCATAGTAAATATTTATTTTTAAATAAAATCTTGGCTGACACGGGATCAATTCGAAATCGTTTGCTGAAAATGCCAAGGTTCTGTAATCAAGTTGTCAGATATAATTTCATTTGGCAACCTAAACCATCTAATCATTATATGAAGAAAACTTCGCTACCGTACATTTTAGAATAGTTAACAGCTGCTCGAGGTAATGGGTAATGCGGAGCGAAGTAAACTTTTTTTAGGTTTTGTTGTTGTTTAGATACAATGATTTTAAATCGCTGACATTAAACAGTAAATGTAGAGAGGAGCAAATAACATTGAGTTTATTAGGGATCAATCGGTGAATTGTTTACATATTCATTCGAACTTTTCAAAAAAAAAAAAAAAGTACGATATCGTTTTTGCAGAGTTATATTCCAAGCCGTGAAACCGTATTATATCCCGTGTCAGTAAAGTGTTTGCAGATTGTACCCACTTCCGAAAGATGGGAGTTTTACGTCAGATTTTCCCTTTTTTTTGTAACACCTAAATACCTCGTTCGTCCGCTAACGATTTGCCACCAGAGCAATAGTGCTTGCAAAAATTTGGATAGGGGATGAAGTTTAGTATATACATAATCAGTTTATATCCACAGAGGAAAAGCTTGAGAGAGGGCATTATCAGCTTACAAAAAGAGGCAAAACTGTGTAACTCGACATTATCAGCAGATACATTTCTAAGTGAAAGCACGGGCGTTTTCAGATATCATCTGAAGTCATTAAAAAAAAGGCGAGTTGTGATGAAAGGCGTATTCGTTGGAGCGAACTCAGGGGAATTAAACAAATTTTCCGGTTCACACTAATTAAGCTCTCTCTTTTTATCACAGTATTATAGTATGGCTACTGACAAAGAAAACAGAGTATAAATTTATTGAAAGTTTTAAAAGAAAGTACAGTTTCTTCTGATAGAGCAGGCAGTAGGTGGTTCGAAACGTTTCAAATAGTCGATATTTCGATCTCTCTTATAAGCCACACTCCGAGCGATCATCTCTGATCGACGATTATACTGCCAAGTTCATGTTAGAGTAAAGTCCTTTCTTGACAACCTGGTCCAATAAACAATTTTGGACTGTATTCGGTTATTATAACCTAAAAACTTTGTAACTTGTTGTATTAGTTTGAAGTCTCTAACTTTACATTTCATTTTACACATATATAAATTAACCTGTCGATATTTAATTGTGAATTTTTTTCCAGTTGTAACGTTTGCAATATATTTCGCTGTTTTATTGCAAACGATCGAGCGTTGCGTCATCTTTAAAGAAGTTCACCGAACCGACAGAGAGCGCAGCATGGATTTGGTACTTATAAAATTTGTCTAATTGTCTACACAAGTATCATCATCAAAAAAAAACTTAACAAATAATTCATAACAAGAAAATTGTGATTGACGTCGAACTTTTCACCTCCACTTCACTTAAGTAACATCACTAAGTATAAACAATGAGAAAAGTATATCATTGTTCTTTTTATAATCCTGTCAATCATATATTGTCATATATATTGTATGTATGTGTTTGTGTATGGAACCAATAGATTAGTAAGTCTCGTTACAGGTGCAACAAACATCATCATCAAAAATCCAAACAAACCAAACCAACTGCAAACTGCTGCATCTTCGTCAACTAAATCTTATCTTTATTACTATATTAAATATTTCACTATATATATATACATATATATATATATATATATATATATATACATATAAAAAGATGATCACTAATAAAAGCACTAAAAATAAAATTTTTTATTAAAATAATTTCTCTGAATTTGAAATGAAAAAATTTTTAGCGCCCAAATATCAAACTGCGTACGCCTGCGAAGGTAAGAAACTAACAATCGAATGCGAACCAGGCGATCTGATTAATTTGATACGAGCCAATTATGGACGTTTCTCTATAACGATATGTAATGATCACGGCAATATGGAGTGGAGTGTAAATTGTATGTTTCCAAAGAGTTTGACGGTTTTAAATTCAAGGTATAAAGACAGATAGGCAAGATTTAAAAGGAGTTACCGTAATATTTTTTTTTTTTTTAATAATAGATGTGCTCACAAGCAGAGCTGCAGTGTATTAGCGACGACTAGTATGTTTGGGGATCCTTGTCCGGGAACGCATAAATATTTAGAAGCCCATTATCAGTGCATTTCGGCCCTGCAAACTTCAACGACCACCAGTCGACCTAGTCCACCACCTTGGGTGCTATCGAATGGTCCTCCCTTATTACCTAACGGTAGCAGCTCTTCAATTATACCTGCCATTGTATCGCCACCTTTACAGCCCGCCGCCGTGCCACCGCGTTTACCACTACCGGGTGCAAGTAATGGTAACGTAGTGCCACCAACTGTTCCAAATGGGGGCATTTGGAATCAAATACCTTCTTCACCTGGGCCACCTACTACACATACTACATTGCCGGGCGGACGTTTAAAAGGTGGTTATAATCAAACTGCGTCAAAAAGTCCAACAAGACATGACGGTTTACCACCCCCACCTCAGTTACATCACCACCATCATCAAACAGGATCAGGTTCAACGGGAGCGGGACATCATAGTAATGCAGATGTTGGACTTAAAGATACAAATCCTACGCATAAAACAGTAGAAGAAACTAAAACGAATAAAAATTCTGCTGCAATACCCACCAATGGCACTTCACCGCCAAACACCCGTATACTTACGGGAGTGGGTGGTACTGGAAGTGATGATGGTATTTTATTAACTGCCAAAACTACAGCCAGAGGCCAGCAACAGCAGCAGCAACCATCAACCTCTTCACTGCCTATCGATGCTACTACGACATCTTCGGATGGCACGAACAACAGCACCGTCTCTCAAGGTTCCTCTGGGCTGATACGAACTATTAATAATATAAACGTAAATATCGGTCTGGGAGGAGAAGATGAAACAAATTTGTTTTGTCGCCCAACTAACGCCCGCAATCTTTTCTGGAATGTGACTCGAGTGGGCGATGTTAATGTGCAACCATGTCCTGGTGGCGCCACTGGCATAGCTAAGTGGCGTTGCGTACTTATGAAGCGAATCTCTTTAGATGATGAATATTTTTTTGATACAACCACTACCAAAACACCTATTTGTAATGGCACGAACTGTGATACTGCAAAAATTAATTCAAAATTACGAAACTTTGAACCCACCTGGCATCCCTTGACACCTGATCTGACCCAGTGCCGTAGCTTATGGTTAAATAACCTAGAGGTGCGTGTAAATCAACGAGATTCTTCTCTTATATCAATAGCAAATGATTTGTCGGAGGTGACTAGTAGCAAAACGCTTTACGGCGGCGATATGTTGGTTACAACGAAAATCATACAAACGATGTCGGAGAAAATGTTCCACGACAAGGAAACTTCTCCCGATCAGCATTTACGAGAGGCTATGATTTTGGAATTACTGCAAGGTGTGGTAAAGACAGGTTCTAATCTGTTGGATGAATCGCAGTTATCCTCTTGGTTGGATCTCAATCAGGAAGATCAAATGCGGGTAGCTACTTCATTATTGACAGGATTAGAGGATAATGCTTTCCTATTGGCTGATACGATAATACGGGAAAGGAATGTAGTACAAAAAGTGAAAAATATACGTAAGTTATATGAGAAGAAGAACAATTGATTGAAACCGAGAAGAGAAATAAATATTTTTAATATATTAAATTCTTACGTAGTGCTCTCGGTAAGAGTATTGGAAACTAAAAGCATACAAAACAACGAGATCTTTCCCGACGTCGAGCAATGGCAGATCTCAGATGATCGCATAGAATTACCTAGGGCGGCTTTAATCGAAAATAGCGAGGGTGGCTTAGTGCGCATAGTCTTTGCAGCCTTTGATCGCTTGGAATCTATATTGAAGCCATCTTATGATCACTTTGATTTAAAAACCGCTCGAAGTTATAGTAAGTTTTTTGAACTAAAAGTTTGAAATTAATTATTATTATTATTAATTATTATTAATCTTCAGTACGCAACACAGCTGTTTTATCGAATGATACGGATTCTTTAAATTCCGTTCTGCAACAACGTTTACGAATTTTAAATAGTAAAGTGATATCGGCTAGTTTGGGAAAAGGTCGCCATATACAACTCTCACAACCTATCAAGTTGATTCTAAGACATCTGAAAGTCGAAAATGTTACAAATCCGACTTGTGTTTTTTGGAATTACATTGACCAGTAAGTAAGATGCGTTATCAAACGAAACAAAATAATAGCAGAACTACTTTTCTTTTCCATGTCTATTTAGTGCTTGGTCGGCTAATGGTTGCGTTTTGGAATCCACTAATCGCACTCACAGCGTGTGCATGTGCAATCACTTGACGAATTTTGCAATACTAATGGATGTCCTGGATGAACATACGCATTCTCTATTTACTATGTTCGATGGGAACATGCGTATACTGATCTATGTCAGCATTTCGATATGCTTGGTGTTCATAATTATAGCTTTACTCACACTGAAAATTTTTAATGGAGTATTTATCAAGGTAAGACCATCAACGAGGACAGATCCTTTGAGCCATTCGCGGCGGGGCGGCAGTAATCGTCGTCCAAATAACATTGTGGATCAGACTCATGAATCTATAGCGATTGCTAATGCCGTCGCCAATACGTCAACGCAAATTTCGGCCACAGCCAACACCACCGCCACCAATAATATACAACAATTGCAACAGCAATTAAATTTGCAACACCTGCAAAATATAGCTCCCGCCAATATGACGGCTAATAATTTTATACAACACAATTCTATTCGTAATTCGAATCGTAACAATCTCAATGCTAATAACTTTCATATGCAACAACAATTGCAACAGCAACAACAACAGCAGGTTGTAGCAGCTGCTGCTGCCGCTGTCGTGGTGGCGAACAGTAATCAACGTAACTTGCAAATGAATAATTTGAACTTAAATCTCAATTTGCAACCGCCGCACAATCATGGCCACAATTTGAATCATTCGCATAACAATAGTCAAATGGAGACATCCATGTCTAATACGTCTGCGGCCGCTGTGGCTGCTGCCGCAACAATAGCAGCTGCCTTGCAGCAACATGCCGGCTCAAGTGGTGGTAGCGGTGTTGGCGGTGGCAGTAATAATTTGAATGTGAACACTACACGAAATCTTAATCACAGTAATATAAATAATTCTGACCCAAATAATATTATAATGCAAGGAAATATGGATGATTTACAATATAAGTGGTGGTGGTGGTGAAAACAAAAAAAAAAAAAATTTTTTTTTTCTTTTTGTATTAGAAATAAGTTTTACATTAGTTGTATTTAAGTTTCTTCTCTTAACCCTTAGGCAACCTTAGTAAAATGATTTAAAACCATTTAATAACAACATTAACTTTGCTTTGTGATATATTTTTTAAGTAGTTGTGTTTCTTTTTCTTTCATCTCCTTAATTAAAATTTTCGAAAAATCCTTTTTTTTTAAAAAAAAAAAAAGTGTTATTAACTTTACTATGCCTTCAACGTATTTCGATAATTTTGTTAATTTATTTTAATTTTATTTAAAGAGAAAATTTTTGTGTAATATTTTAATTTAGCACTCATTTCAATTAAAACTCTGAAACATTTTCATATAAATATTTATATAAATATATATTTTCATATTTTTGTGTAAAATGTTTTGTTTTTCATATAAAATAAATTATAAATAAAATTAATTTATGTTAATGTAATTAAAACATTTCATATGTAATCCTGCGTATGCGTGCTCTTTTACGTTGGTAACCTTCTTTTTTTTTCATTTGTTATGTTTGCTTTTTCCTATATAATTTAAAATTTCTTTTCTTTTACTTCACCACCAACCACCAAAAAAAAAAAAAATATTTTGTTTTGAACTATTTACAAACAAAAAAAAGAAAGAAACCTAAATTTTATATTAAGAACAAACAAAATTGAATCGGAAAAGAGGTTTTGCTTAAGTTTTAAAGTTAAAATATCGAGACCTTTCAATTCGTTTAAAATTTTAGATAAATTTGTTTCGAAATATTTTGCGCGGTTTAGGAAAAAAATCTTTATTCTAAGCTCAAAACAAAACATATAAAGCAATTCTTTTTTTTGATATTTTTCCTTATATTGTGAAATCATCAACGTTTTTTTTTAATATTTTCTTGCCTTTTGTCTTCTCCTGCTTCGCTATCAAAATTTTAAATCCATTATCTGTTCTCTCTTCTTTTCTTTTTTTTTTTTTTTTCTGTTTACTCTTATTCTCTTTACAGTCTGCTCGCACTTCAATTTATCGCAGCATTTATATTTGTTTATTTATAATCGAATTGTTGTTCTTGTTTGGTATCGAACAAACTGAGACGAGCATATTTTGCGGTTTCACTACAGTGTTTTTACATTGTACCATATTGACTGCAATTGCATGGTTTTGCTTTGAAGGTAAGTGTTGTCTTTAGAAATACGAATATGCAATGTGTTGATTAGAGCCACTATGCCTAAATGTCCTTATTGTGTAAGCAGTGCTAAGAATTGAAATTTGCACGAATGCTATTTTGAGAAAAAACTTATGCGCAGCATTTTAACCGAAAGCTGTACAAAAACGAAAATTTTCCTTAAAAACGGCTCCGCCTTTTTTTTTTGTATTTGCAATTTAGAATTTTTCCAATTTTTAGAGATTTCAAAACACATACCAAAGTCATAGATACGCGCCGTAGTTAAACGATTAATTTAACAGTTTAATATCAAGGACTTTTTTCTCGCGTTTAATCGCGTCGATGACTTTTACAAAGTGTTTTCGAATTTTTGGAAAATCTTCACATTATCTCTGTCAAATTTTGTTCTGTCACAAGCTAGACCGCTGCACACTTGGGTGTATGTTGTTTTATGCTTTCATGGAGCGCTTTCCTTTTCAATTTCCTTGTATTATATTTTATATTTTCCTTTTTTTTTGTAAAATATAACCATTCCCGCACTTCAAAAATGCTTTTAGCGTTGTGTTAAGTGTAAAATAACAAACTTAAAGAAAGTTCAGTTCAAAAATATCACATGTTTGCAAAAGTATTCGTGACAAAGTTTTGTGACCGATCGAATAATGCGATAATCAATCTGTACGTTCTTCCCTGATTTCGCAGCTGATGAACACTTGCCGTCCTTCTTCTCCTCCAGGCAGACTAGCACTTGATAGTCGTCCACGAGAAGTTCGTTTATACAAATACAAAATTCCCGACTTCATGGCAAACTGTTCTAGCCGACGTGAGGAGATCTCACTTTGCTAAAATTATCATGCAATTATCGGAAGCAGGAAAAAGTCTCTTCAATTGCTCGGCATCTCTCAAAATTTTTTCTGGGAGATTTATTAAAGCATTCTTGATGAAGTTTTGTGACCGATCTAGTGCTACAGTCTGCTTTTCCCTGATTTCGAAGTAGGTGAACAAGCCATCCTCCTTCTTCGTTACAATGAAGTGCTCGACCCATCTAATATTATTATCAAAATTAATCCATATTGCATCTCCTTCTTAACAAATGCGAGTTGCCCTTATAATCCACTTTACAGCAAAATATTAGAAAACACTTTTCTTGTTACAACTTTAAAGAGGATGCACATGTTCACATGAAAAAGCTACTAAGGTTACTACTACCGAAAAACTAGCATACGTGGGATTTCGGAAATGACTTTTAGACAATGTTGCGACATGTAAAAAAGTTTTGTGGGCTTTTTGTGAATTACATTTTGCAATTTCTATGGCATAGCACTAAAAGGTACACTATGTACTTATCTTTCTGTCCACCTCTGTATTTGAAGTCAAATTTTGCTTTAACATTCCCTAACAAGTGCCACTTCACATATTTCATCATTTAACAGCTTCGCGAACGTGAATGCTCTAGCATTCGTTTTCGTTGTGATGCCAAATAACATGAATGCTATAATAATGAAATTTTAAAGCCAACTCTTTCTTATTTAAATTTATATAACCCCGGGGTTTTTTTTTAATTATCGTACTTGCCGAAGTATTGGTTAACTGATTATTCAAGTTTTTCCAAATTAGTTGATTTTTTTCTCGCTGCATTTACAAATTTACTTAAAGCGCCCTTCACGTCTAAATGTCTAGGCAGAGAGCAGCTTCTCGCCTTTCCCCTTTATCTTATGTTTCCTCCTAGGTGAATGCTATAGCATTCGTTGCATATAGCTTGTAACTGACCTTAGGAAACGTATTTAATCAGATTTCAGGTATCACAACTAATTTTAAAACAAGTGAGAAAATTAGATTCTGTCGTGACCGAACATCGTGATCCTGCAAAAAGAAAGGAGAAGAACTACATTTAGAGACTCTATAATATTTGCTGCGCCCTAGTGATTTTTTTTTTTATGTCAGACTAAACGCCCACATGTGTTGTAGTTTATGAGTAACAAGCAAAGGTGTTCATAGTTTCTGTTATACAAAGGTGTAGACCGTGTAGACGTCTCCTGTGAAAAGTATATTTTCATGTAATTTTCAAAGTCTTTTGGAAGTTTATAAGCCATACCTTCATTTTTGCGAACGGACGTATGTTTACCGTGGGCACTACACAATTGTGCATTCCGAATTTAAAAGTCACCAAGAATTTATATATATTTATGGGTTTTTCAAAGCTTGCATTTGCGCATTATAAAGGTTTTCAAAACAAAAGAAAGAAGAGGCAATTTACAGATGGGGTATAGTAACGCCCAAATTTTTATAGATTTATATGCTGTAATTGAAGAGTAATTAGCTAAAAATCAATTTTTTACTCCTTTTGAAAAGCGGAGGTGTTTTACTTTATGTAATACCTTATGTATATCCTTTGACAGATTTGAACCATTCTCATTGCCAACCTGTGTGCGAGAACTTTCAATGCGTCTGCCGGATTTGAGGTCGATGTCTTCGGCTATTTTTGCAGCCAGGATAATGTTTACAATAGACATTACACAGACGGACAGAGGGACGTGCTTAAATCAATTCAAAATTTTACAACATGAATATACCCCTCATACTTGGGTGATGGAATAAGTTGAGTCAAATAGGTCGGTACTAATGTGCCTTAATAACCGACCAAACTCAGCGTTAAAAACTATTAATCCTATGAGAAGTACAAGTACTTCTTAGCTACATCTTTCAACTGCACATGCCTAACGCAAGTTTTAAAAACACTTTCATAATAGCATTGTTGAGCGCTGTAGCATAAGAAAACGGTTTTGATTTCGAGAAGGATATGTTTCGTTTTTCGAAAAAATGTACTAGAAATCGGAGTGAAGGTACCATTAAAATTTGAACGTTACATTACGAATAGGTCGAGAAATATAGTTTCGAGAAGCACGCGAATAAACTTTTGGATAAAAACTTCGTCAAATCTGTGTC